CAACAACGTAGCAGCCGTATCAAAGTGTCAGGTGAACATTATTATTATTATTATTTAGATTTTATTAACTGCAGAGGGGAAATTGAGTCTCTGCATTTAACCCATCGCACATGTGAACATACAGTACATGTGGAGCAGTGGGCTGCCAATTACAGCGCCCAGGGAGCAGCTGGGGGCTTAAGGGCCTTGCTCAGGGACCTAAGGTGGGGCTGGTTGGTTCGGGGAGTCGAACCAGTGACCTTCCAATCACAGACACGGCTTCTCTACCCYCTGTGCCATATTGCACATAACTGTAGTGTTACCAAGTTAACCATGTGTGTTTAGAAGTCTAACTTGCTGTTGGATATAAACTGTTCTTGAGTCTGTTCGTTCTGGTCCTGACAGTCCAGGGGTCTCATTTATAAAGGATTGCGTGGAAACCATACTAAAAGTGAACGTACGGCCAAAAGGCAGAAATGGCGTACGCCAAAAAAAWTTCAGWTTTATAAAACAGTGCGTACGCATGTTTCTGCGCATCTTTCCATTATGAATCACAGCCGCACGTCAGAGTTTGCACACGAGGTCCCGCCTCAGGTTCTACCCTCTACACGCCCACACTCAACCATAAACAGTCAGTGTAAAGGACCTCATGAATATTAAGATGTATTTAAATCAGTCAGCTGATCAATGCCAACAAAAGTGATTGGCTCAGACACGCTCCGTCGTGAGTCTGGAGGTTGACAGGTGCTGACTGACAGCTGCTCACGTGAACAGAATGTATGTAATTGACACAGATTTCCCCCCATTTTGCTTTAGAGTAATCTAACGATTTTTATAAAAAAATCTCAGCTTCAAATTAATTTTGTCACTGAGCCTGCAGGACAATAAAAACAATAAAAATAAAATTAAATAAGTCAGATAAAATTAGAAAAACGTTCACTGCTCTTCTCCTCGTCCTCTCCCCCTCCTGCCTGCTCTGTTATCCGCGGCAGAGCCCCCCGCCCCGCACGCACACACACACACACACACACACACACACACACACACACACACACACACACACACACACACACACACACACACACACACACACACGCGTGCGACTTTAAACGTGGTTTTCTAACATCCATACTGGCGAGGTGGATGCGCCATGCGCGTGTATCCAAAGCATGACTTTTGCTGTCCTCATGTTCTAGTCGGGGAGGGGTCTGTGGGTCAGGGAGTGGTCTGTGGGTCAGGGAGGGGTCTGTGGGTCAGGGAGGGGTCTGTGGGTCAGGGTCGTCTGAGGAGGAAGCAGATGAAGGGATTTGCGCACGGGAACTTTTATTTACGATTTAAGTTTTTTTTATTTTAAAGGTCCTCATGGCTCAGCAGCAGAAGCATAAATATTACTGTTAAGAAAGCTGATGATAAAGTTGAATAAAAATCTAAGTCTGATTCTGAAGATAAATTAAATATCTGACAGTGATCATGATGCAGTGTGGCTCTAATTCTTCACTTCACCATCTGTGTCGCAGTTTCCTGTCTCCAAACTGAGCGTACGCATGGGTCAAAGCTGGCGTGAGGCACCGCACATTTTCACGTCAAGTTTGGATTTTATAAATCACAACCTTGGCGTAAAAAGTGGCATACGCAAGTTTCTGGGCTCAAATTGTGCGTACGCAAGTTTTATAAATCCGACCCCTGAACCTTCTACCTGATGGTAGCTGGATGAACAAACTGTTCCCAGGGTGTGAGGAGTCTCTCTCTGTGTGTCGTGCTCTCTGGAGGCAACAGGTCCTGTGCAATTCTTCCAGAGAGGGCAGAGGCACCCAACAATGTCCTGAGGCACCTTTATGATTCTCTGGAGGGCTTTCTTCAGAGCCACTATGGATGAATAATGGATGGATGGATGGATGGATGGATGGGTACAATACCAAGTAAATAGCTCACATCTCCTTTGAGCTGAACAGTAATTACTGTGGTAATGTCAGTTTGAAGCATGGCAGCATTGTTAGAATGGAACCAGTCAGATAAACAGAACGGTCTGACTTTACCGAGGCACATGGTTGATCAGGGCTTGAGGTCTATACTGAGGAAAGAGGTAGGACCTAAAATCTTCATTACTGGTGATACCAGGCCAAGTCTCTTCTGCTGGAGTTCCTACGAGACAAACAAAGGCTTTAAGTCTCTCTAGTAAATGAAATTTTGGAGCTCAATGAGACAACCTGTATAGATAAAGGCCAAATTAGAAAATAATAACATTATCATCACTTGTCCTAAAAACAAAACAAAAAAATGTGTCAAATTATTTAAAATATCTGTTGTTGATTAGTCATAGAATGAGATGTTCCAAATTCAAAATCTGAGAACCACTGGGAGGTGTGACCACACTGAAAGAATCAGTCCTCAAAACTCTTGTTTTAAAAAATGTTTCAAACTGTTTCAAAAGCAAACATTCTACATTCTTTATACAAGAAAACTAAAGAGAGTTAGTGTAACACATGAGTGTACAGTATGTCAGGTTCTAATTTCACTCTGGTCCTTTCTGAACATGTTYTAAGATAGAAATAAAAAACTCAAACACTTGGTAAATTTAGTTAGAAACTAACAGTGGTGGGCAGCGCTAATCCAAAAATTAGCTCCCCAATTTCTAAAGCACTTATAAAAATATTTAGGCCCACAACTTCAAAAGCTCTTATGCCATAGAAAACTAGCAGAAGCTAATTTTAAGGTGCAAGTTCAATTTGACATTTACTAGCTGGCATCAATTCATGTACAATATTTGCACAACACTACCAACTAACGGTGTATGAACTCTTTTACAACTTAATTCTACAACCACCAATTGCTGGGGATGTGATTTCCTGAAACAGACCTTTAGCTCCTGGTGTAAAAATTAAAAAGTTTTTGAGGATTGCTAGTTCGGCTGCTTCTTTAAAAAGTTGTTGAGGATTGCTAGTTCGGCTGCTTCTTTGTCTTTTTCTTTTGTTTGTTGTAGATTTTTCATTAAAGAAGCATCAATAAAGTAGTTTTAAAACTGTTTATTGGAAAACTGAAGCGATGCATTCTGGGTACATGACGGATTTGATTTGTGACAGGAAATGAAAGCACGCAGCACATGAAACTATCTTCCCTTCAAAAGAAGAGCTTGGATTTTAACGTTTTTCATGTAGTTGCTCCAGTTGAACACTAGATGTCAGTCTTCACCAGCATAACATCTTTAAATCATTTCTGCATCTCTAACCCCGTTGCTTTGACCAATTACATCAAGTACTGAGCTCCAGCGTTTAAATTTTTTTTTTTTAAAAAAAGGAGTTCCAATTGTAAAGTAAAATAAATCAATACATACAAAATTTTAGTATGGATTACAAACATTTACTGTTTTTGCTATTGCCTTCCTACTATGTAAGCAGACACAAAGCATTGTGGGAAATGAGAACCCTGACCAAAAGCAACAGTCAGCAAGGATGTATTGTAAGTGTGTTTATCTGGGAGAAGTGCTGTTGGACAGATCATGTGTGTTGTGATTCATTGACAGCCATACCTTCCGCTGTTCAAGATAATGATGACTGGTAGATAATTAGTTAGTGGTGGTACTGCATTTTAATTTTAGAAAATGCAAATCTGCTTATGAATTATAAAAATTGGTAAAACTGCTAAAGCRCAAATGAAATATTTAGGTCATCAATTAGAGGATTTGCGCTTTAGGGCTGGTGCCCACCACTGGAAACTAAACTCTCTCACTTTCTAGCTGAGTCAGATGGTGGCTAAAGAACTGACATCTCATAGATCAGTTCAACCCTTTCAGATCCAGAGTGAGTTCTCACCGATCAGCCTGAAAATTAAATGTAGCTCCTCCTTCACYGTGGCACCAGGAAACATGGGACGACCTGTCGCCATCTCAAACAGGATACAGCCMACACCCCTGGAGAGAGAAGGAGGAGGGGGGTCCAACAACAAATAATCCTGAGGTCCTGAGGCTTGGGGTCAGTTCAACCAAAACTTGTGAACATGCCAAGTAAAGTGTGCTGTGAGTGGGAAGGGGGGGGGGGGGTGATGAAGAGGTGGTCCGTGGTTGGATGAAGGGATGTGGACCACATTAAACCATGCTGGTGTAAACAAAGCTGTGGGAGTGTTCTTACTTTGGCAAACTGCTAGAATACTTAAGGAAAATGATTTTTCATCTTTTATATGACAATTGACTCATCTGCTCATTAATAAAGTGAAGGATTTTAAAGTTGATTCACAAACATCTTAGAGATTCAACAGTCTGATCTGAGGTTTAATAAGGCTTTGCAGTACCTTCATCCAAATATAATTACATTCTTGTCAGGGGTGTAAGTACCTCATTTAACAAAAAGAAAAAAAAGAATGAACAAATAACTTCTTTAAACCAGTTTTATGCTACAACAAATTATAACTTAATTATAAGACTGAAACCAGTTTATTTGGTATTTATTTGTATGATTAGCAGTCATTTASATTCTTATGGTAGGAAATAATCAAGCAGTGTGTTTTTAGAACAACTGATGTGTTTTCTTCTAAATGTTAGAACAAATAAAACCAGAGGACAAAAATAATCCTAAAATGTGAATTGTCAATTAGTTTTCTATAAAAATAAACGTCAGAATGTGTGAAATGTTCCTGTCAGAGTCAAGATAAGTTGTTTGGATGAACACATGCCAGTACAGCCATTTTCTCTGAAATCAGCTGCAGATGGATAAAAAAGGATTTAGGTTCATGTTCAATGTTGACCACATGTCACCAACATCTCGTTATAATAAAAAGTGTCAGCTCATCATTTTGTTTATTCATCAGCATTATCTGTGTGATTGCTGAGTCATCATTTATTCTGCTTATTTGTTTTATTTACCAACTACTTCTTCATTTTTTGAATTGATYGGGAACAGTGTGCTGACTTTTAGGTTTTGTAAAATTTGACACTTTGAATTTTTTAAAACTTTTTTCACAAAAATGTTCCTCAGAAATCGACTAAGATGTTTTTAGCTAGTACCTCAATATCCTCTAGTAGAATTTACTGTTTTTGCTAAATTTAGTTTATTCTTTAAACTTTAATCTTTATTTGTTAACCTTTATTTAACCAGGCAAATCTCAGATTAAGTTTAGCTTTCAACAACAGTGTGTCTTGTTTTAACATGAGCAGCTGAGTTAATTCATTCTGACCAAACTCAACACCGTTTCAACAGAAAATGTAACTTCATCAGAAAATAAAGATACTCCAGCTTGTTCTGTGATGGAGCAGGTCTAGAACAGGTCTATAACAGGTCTAATGCAGGTCTAGAGTAGGTTTAGAGCAGGTCTAAAGAAGGTGTGGAGCAGGTCTAGAGCAGGTCAGGGGCAGATCTAGAGATGGTCTGGAGCAGATCTAGAGAAGGCCTGGAGCAGGTCTGGAGCAGGTCTGGAGCAGGTCTAGAGAATGTCTGGATCAGGGCTGCTGTAGACCAGCACTGTTCCTTCTCCAGACCAGTTCTAGACCTGCTCTAGAGGACTGGAGCAAGGCTGGAGCAGGTCTAGAGCAGGTCTGGAGCAGGTCTATAGCAGGTCTAGAACAGGTCTGGAAAAGGTCAGGAGCAGGTCTAGAACAGGTCAAATGCAGGTCTAGAGAAGGCTTAGAGCAGGTCTAAAGAAGGTCCAGAGCAGGTCTGGAACTGGTCTGGAGCAGGTTTAGAGCAGGTCTAGAGAAGGTCTGGACTCACATGAATGTGGACTAAAGAGAGAAACCAGAATCCTCACCACATGTCGATGGGCGTGGAGTATTCTGTCGAGCCCAGCAACACATCGGGGGGTCGGTACCACAGAGTCACCACCTCGTTGGAGTAGGTCTTAGTGGGAACAGACTTGGCCCGTGCCAGACCTGGACAGGACAGGACAGGGTTTTAAAGAAGTCTTATTTATGAAGCCTGCGCCTCATAAAGTCCCCCTGATGGAAGGTTGTTGATCAGGCAGCATGTTGGCTGTGTTTATCTGGAGCTATTAAAAACAGTCAGGGACAGTGGTGGGTTTATCGACCTACTTCCAACACAAAACTGAGGAAAAAAATACCCGGTTGCTAGGATACATGAAATAAGGCTGCTAAAGTAATCAGGACCTCAGTGTGGTGAGAAAACAAACAAAGCACAGACTTTTCCTGCTAAATGTTTCATCTTTACACCACACTATTGCTKCAGCAGGTGAGAAACAGTCTTCTTACCAAAATCAGCTAGTTTGAGCTCGCCTCTGTCATTGATGAGCAGGTTCTGAGGCTTTAGGTCTCTGTGGAGGATTTTCCTTTTGTGACAGTAAGATAAGCCACGCAGCAGCTGGAACATGAAGATCTGCAGGCAGGAAATGTAGAAAAAACTCAAATTAAATAATTAACGTAAGTTACATGCAATTAATTATAAAGAATATTTTAAGAATGTTGTGAAAATGTTTTTTTTTTACTTCCATCAAGAAATCCACAATTTGAATGTATTCATCTGAAATAATCGAGCTTTTTGTGTTTAAAATGAATTTAGAACTTTGCGCCTCACAGACTGAAGGGAACTAATTTATCTAATAAATAAACTTTTTCAAGCTAAATAGAAAACCATCATGTTACAACTAAAGCTGTGAGCACAATGACACAAAGAGCAGCTTAAAGAAAAACATCAAGTAAAAAAAACTGAAAGRTTAAGAGTTAAATATAAAAACAACAAAACAAGCTGTGTTCAAGAGGGCTAAAATATTGCAAAAATATCTCATGAAAATTATTCTTGTTTGTCTCTCTGTAAGATWAATATCTCCTAAATGAGTGAGCAGGATTTATTGAAAGAAGGACGCAAGAAAATACWCAAATGTTTGTCTACAACTGATTGGAGTCAGCCCAATACAAGATATCAGCTGACCTCAGCAAACAGAAGTGATTAGAAATGATTCCGATGAACAGAAACAGAGCTAAAAGCTAACACCTGCTCTGGTRAAATGTCTCTCACTTCTGGATGGAACTATTTTATCTCTGGATGCTTGGTCCATATAACCAAACAGCAGTGGCCTCAAATATTTATTGGTAAATTCTGAATCAAAGATCTTGTGCAGTCTTTTAGCACTCAGAACGTGAAAGAGACAGGTGTCAGCTACCACTACACTAAACTTTAAATCTGTCAGACTTTGTGTTTAATGGTCAGTTGGTTGAGTCTCACCTTGACGTTATTCATGCTCATGAGATTTCCACAGTTGTCCAAGTAATGTTTGAGGTCACTGTCCTGAAAGACAGAACAACCAGAGTGTTCCAGTTAAAGATCTCTCTCTTCCTGTTGGGCAAATGATCTTTAAAAAACCCTGTAAATCCAGCTGGACTCACCAGATATTCAAACACCAGCGTGAGGCAGCGGTCGGTGTGGATGATGTCATGCAGCGTGACAATGTTGGCATGTTTCAGATTCTTCAGCAGAGACACTGTTTGGAGTCCAGAACACAGTGTTTTCTGTCAGCACATCTGAACATTTATTAAAGCTCAGTTTAGATTGGCTTTTAGCTCAAACTGCTGTTCTGTTCAGAAAGAACATTCCTCTTTTCTTCTGTGAACTTCTTGTCACTGAGCTGCAGCAGTGCTGATTATTACCAGTCAGGATTTTATTTTGGTGGATCTGTGAGGAGTCAGACCACATTCCTATAGTCCATTTATCCATGAAACCTGACCAATTAAACAATTACTACTGGGCATCATAAAAACTCTTTAAGAAGTCTTCATTTGATCCAAAATGCTGCTGTTAGAGTTCTAATGAGAGTTGGTAGAAGAGATCATATTTCTCCACTTTTAGCTTCTTTCCACTGGCTCCCTGTCAAATTCTGAATAGAATTTAAAATCTTACATCTAACATACAAATCTCTCATCAACCAAGCTCCATCTTAAATTAAAGATCCAAACTAATCCTCCTGTTTGTCTCTGTTCTTCCATAGTTTTCTATTTGGAACCAGAGTCTGTGCAATGTGGGTCTTTAAGTCCCGCCTACTCCCCCTCATGCATTCATGAAGTCACACGATCTTTTTCAAGTATGAAATAATTAATTACAGCCAAACACGAGCAGTATCCCAYTCATTTATATTAAACATGCAGGACTAAAAACCTTTAATGCAGTGGTGTCAAACTCATTTTCCCTGAGGCCCACAGGAGCGCTATGCTGGTCCTCAAAGGGCCACTTGTAATTCATTTTATTGTTTCATGTTTAAATTGGACTAAACAGAAAAAGTTACATTCCTCTTCTGAGTGCTATGGTTGAACACAGCTAACAAACAATAACTGAGCTCTAGGTGGTATTTCTTGCATGGAAACAGTTTTTTAACATGTCTCATCTGACAGGAGAAGGGTTTGTTGAGTGGATGGTGTTCCTGTACCCTCTCTGATGGCTGTGCATGGAGCCCCCTCTTCATGTTCCAGCCGGATCTCCTTTAACGCCACCAGGTTCTCTGTAAGTTTGCTCCGTCCTTTAAACACTGTGGCATACGTCCCCTGTAAACACACACACGCACACACACACACACACACACATACACACACGTCTACATACTGTACATTATATGAAATCAAAACATATTTAGGGTTTTATCAAAGAAAATTAAGAGTAAGGAGAATTTTTATTTTGTCAGTTATTGGAATCCTTCCTGTTAACAATATTATGATTTTATTCTGTTTTATTTGCTCAGACTGATTATTGCTCTGTTGAAAACCTGGGAAGATGCTGCTACCCCAATCTGCTTATTGGTTTTTATTTTTAACTTTTTTCATAAACTTTAAGGTCAAGAGCTCTACTAAGACCTGAAGGGAGATCAGCATGAGATTAATAGAAACTGGAGCAGCTGTTAGAAACATCTGGGGCCTCTTGTTTGACTGAGTGTTCAGACTCAAAATGACATGCCGACATCTCAAAAGTGTGTAGGCTTAAAAATAATTTATTTAAGGGTGGAACGTTCACCTCATTGTTAGAGGGGTTGGTAAACACCAACAGATTTATTACTGAGGGAAGAACGTGGTGATTCTGTTTGAGCTTCCATCAGTTTTATAAATCAATATAAAGTCATCATTTGTTAGTAAAACATTTCTGTGCAGCTATATAGTTGTAAACTCCTCTATAAAACTAGAATAAACCGGTCTGAAAGCCGGAGGGGGCGGGGTAAGGACCTTGTTTGGATTTGAAGAGACAGCCTCAAAATGAGTTGATCTTAGACACACCTCAGAAAAGGGCGGGGCTTGTGAAGATATAATAAATGGTAAATGGGCTGCATGTATATGTTGCCTTTCTATCTAACCAGGAAACTTAAAGCGCTTTACAAGCTGTGTTATTTACCCATACACACAGCTCTCTAAGATCTCTCTACAAAGCTAAAATGTACAATCAATCTGTTCTATAGAGACTAAGCAGTGCTTTGAATCACATTCATACACTGATGGGACACACATCAGAGGCAGTGCGGGTGAAGTGTCTTGCCTATAGATACTTCGACATTTGACAGAATGGYGGGGAATTGAACCGCCAACTCTCACTCTCAGGAATGACTCACCATTCAGCCACAACAGCCACAAAAATAAAAATTAGGGGCGGCTGTGGTAGAGTGGTTAGGGGAGTCGTTCTGGAACTGGAAGGTCACCGGTTCGATCCCCGTCCAGTCAATTCAATCGATGTGTCCTTGGGCAAGACACCTTACCTGCCTTGCCTACTGATAGTGGTCAGAGGGTCCGGTGGCGCCTGTGCATGGCAGCCTCGCCTCTGTCAGTGTGCCCCAGGGCAGATATGGCTACAATTGTAGTTTGCCATCATCAGTATGTGAATGTGTGTGTGGATGGGTGAATGTCTGTAGTGTGAAGCGCTTTGAGTGTCCTGAATGGATAGAAAGGCGCTATACAGTCCATCCATTTACCAAAGTACTGCAGTTATATGGACCCCAACTGAATGATTTAAAAGCATCATGCTTCCTTTTCAGACATGCTGTCCTCAATAAAAAGACAACATTTCTTTGCATTTCATTTCAAGTTTTGTGAAAGAATCTTTTGATCTGTTTTCAGGTCCCAGCTGATGAAACGTCCCACAGAATGATGCTGCCACCACCGTACTTCACAGTTCAGATGTTGTTTCTGAAAAGCACAGCTTCATCATCTAAGCTTTACAAAATTGTTTGAAGACGTAATACCTTAGTGTATGTAAACTTGTGACTTTGAAGAAAGGAATTTAAAATTATCTCATTATTCAGACATTTAACAAAGAAAAATTTGTTTTATTAGATTTAATCTGAAGGTTTAATCTGATTTAATGTAAGACTGAGGAAAATTATTATTATTATTATTATTATTATATAGAGTGTATGTAACCTTTTCTTGTAGTAGCCTGCTTTAATAATCTCTTAGTAATCTTAGACTTTACTAGTGACAGAAGACATCCTGTTACATGTGTAAGAACTAGTATTTAAAAAATACACATGACACCACATTCCTAGCAGGCCAGGTTCTGATTTAAACACCGAGGTTCTTGGTTGAGCTATGGTCTGCTACCACACAGACAGTAACTAACTGTACAGCACTGACCAACATGGTGGCACAAACTCTGACCTTGTTGACTACAGTGTGGTTGGACATTACTTCAACTCTTAATCCTAAATGAGTTGTGCTTAAAACAATTAATAAAAAACTGAGTTCTAAAATATTAACAGTTTTATCTTCAGAGAGAGAGAGAGAGAGAGAAATGTCACAACACAGCTGTTGAATTTGCTGTAAACAGGTTTGCACTTTTGTGAAGTCTGTGTGTTGTAAAGCCAGTATTGATCATCAATGACAAAACTATCCACTTTATTTTTTTTTCTTTTGCTGTGATCTGCTGCTGAGCTTCCTGACTGAGACTGACAGTTTTTGCTAATAATCACCAATCACAGCTCTCTGAGGGGAATATTGGTGTCATACAGTATGTGGTATGGGATCATCATCCCTTGAGGTGTCCACATTTTGTCAATACTCCTGTTGGACTCCATAGATGGTTGTAAATGTTCACATAAACAAAACTGTACAATAAACAAATTTCAAAAGCATCTCAAGGCTCCTAACAGGACATGGACAGCCATGACCAGTTTTAGGAGGACCTGCATGTGATCAGATGTGTGTGTGTGTGTGTGTGTGTGTGTGTGTGTGTGTGTGTGTGTGTGTGTGTGTGTGTGTGTGTGTGTGTGTGTGTGTGCATGCTGGTGTAGCACTCTCTCTCTTGACAGAGTATCAGCTGGCAGCAGCTGGCAGTAACGTACCTCACCCAGTTTGCCAAGCTTCACATATGTCTCCAGTTTTCCAAACCCTATATCAGACTGAAGGTAAAAATAAATAAACAAGATTATCTTAAATTATCTCCTCTTGTTACACCATGCATTGATTAAAAAAGCAAAAATGTTTTCAGAGTAAGTTAGTTAAGCATAAATCCATGATTTATCCTGTAAACAATGAATGCGTCCTAATTGAGACAACATTAAAGTAAACAGATTCTTCTGGGTGAATCACCATCCATCACACCTGCAGCAACAGAAAACCATACAACTACTGCTCTGCAGAGAAGACCTCTAACACACTGCGCAATCTGGGCTAAGATGTTCCCTGATCAATTAACTTCTCTCTAGGCTGTAAGAGAAAAAACAAACGGTTACTGACCAGTGAAGCACGTCGAGACATGCGGCTGAGAGGTTTGCAGAGAGGGGAGTTTTCATTTTCTTGCTGCAGCTTCCTTAGGAACTCTGGAGGCAGGCGAATGTCCATGGGCAAAGACATGTGCTTACTCACATCCTGTAAGAAGTCACAAAGGGAGGACGAGCTTCAGACAAACTATCAAACGTTATTCATTAAGAAGTTTTAGGTTTTTTCTAAAGTCAGTACCAGAGTTTCCAAAATGTCTCAAAATGTTTGTGATTTGTCTCTTCATATGAGTTGATGTTGAGTTGTTGCCCCACCCCCTTTTTCTGAGTCTTAAACAGTGGCAGCTCAGTGAGATACAGGCTTCAGACATTTTATCTAAAATGTTAAAAAGTAAGTTTCGCTTCTAAACCTGAACAGTCTGACAAATTAAACTTAGATTATTGTCAACAAACAGACCTGCTGCACTAGAAGGCATAACCATATCCCTCCTGTTTAACTGACTTCAGGCATTCTAACCAGATGAACAACTGCAACTGGCTCCTCTGGATGTGGAGGAGCAGCAGCTCTACTTTGACTCTCGCAGATCCAATCCCCTCCAAAAGTATTGGAACAGCAAGTTAAATTATCTTGTTTTTGTTGTTCACTGAAGACGTTTGGGTTTAAAATCAAAAGATAAACATGAGACAAGAGTTTTGAATGTCAGCTTTTATTTCCTGGTATTTACATGTAGATGTGTTAAACAAGTCAGAACATACGAACCTTTGATTGAACCCATCCATTTTCAAGTGAGCAAAACTATTGAAATCTGTGACTGACAGATGTTTCTTATTGATCAGGTGTTGCCTTTAAGGTTGATTGTTCCAACATTAAATAGCTCTGCATGACTGGGTTTAAGCCTATAAAGTAGGTGTGACATTTTGGTGTTTCCACCCCCTACCTCCTTGATTGGTGGCAGCGCTGATCACCCACACCTGTGTGCAATCTGGCTCATCTACTCCAGGCTTCTTAAGGCAGTGCCAAAGACCAACTCAGCGCTGGAGCATAGCCTCTTATTTGGTATGAGCTCAGCCCACCACTTGTTACTCTCTCTAAGAGTTTTGTATTACTTGTGTTTTTGTACTTACCTATTTTCAGGAAATTAGTTCTCCAGYACGTTTTTGCCTGCCGCCTTGGACTCCAAGCCTCTCTCCAGTTTCTCATGTGCTGCCTCCAACAACTCACTGTAAATATCCACGCACCTGTAAATACTCACCTTGGAAATCCTACCATTGTGGACCAACTCCTCCGTGCTTCATCTCCTTCCCCAAACCGTAAGAACCTACCTGCTGCACTCACCTATTTAAGTCCTTTTCTGGAAAATTATCAAGTACTCACCTCTACTACCGTTCTGTTCCAGGTCCAGACCCCCAGACCCCTCCCGCAACTGTAAAAATAAAAATCACTTATCTTTTATCACTTGCCTCTGTCTCTGTTTGTCGCTGGTACTGCTCACGTTGACCCAAAACCTGTGTTTGACAGTATGCTCCAGCCAAGTAAAATGTCCGTGAGCAATACCGCCGACACTCAGACGTCTGTAGTTAATATTCAACCCGATCCCACAGTATTAGATCATGACCAGAAACTTAATCAATTATTTCAGCTTCAACAAGAGACCAGTGTATTGTTAAATCAAGTAACTCACCTCATTGCAGCCATTGACAATAGATTAAATAYGTTTTTTTCTTCTAACCTAGTTCCACCCTCCGTTCCCACGCCGAGTCCATCAGTATTTTCTGTAAAAGAGCCAGACATCTGACCCTCAGAATTGTTTGGAGATATAAATCAATGTGCAGGTTTTTTATTACAGTGCCGATTGGCTTTCGCTCGTTTACCCTCTCTGTTTCCCACTCATTCAGCCCGAGTTACTTTATTTGTCTCTGCCTTAAAAGGAAAGGCTCTCAGATTGGCTCAAGCCTTCCTTTCAGCTCATTCCTCAGACACTCTTACCTCTCAGTTGTTTATTCAAGAGTTCCAGCATGTTTTTGATCATCCCCTCCAGCAGGAGGAGGCAGCTAAGAGACTAATCTATCTACGACAAGGAAGTAAATCCGCAGCCGAACATTCCGTGGATTTCCGCATTGTTGCTGAAGAGGCGGGCTGGGAGGAATTTGCCTTAAAAGGTATTTATGTAAACTCTTTATCTGAAGAACTTAAAGATCATCTGGCTTCTCGGGACGAACCCGGAAGCCTGGATGAATTAATCACATTATCCACCCGCATTGATAATGGATTAAGAGAACGTAAAAGAGAAAAGAACTACATTTCCCAGACGCCGCGGACTTCCGCTCCCGTAATCAGTGGTGAGTTCTCTCCTCCTCCTCACGCTACAGCCGCAGCTACTGTAATTCTGTCGAACCTATGCAGATTGAACGCGCTCGATTAACTCCTGAGGAAAGACAGAGACATTTTGCTGCCAAATTATGCATCTACTGTGGAAACAAGGGACACTTCGTCGCCACCTGCCCCCTGCGGGGAAACGGAGCATCTCGTCAGTAGAGCAGGGGAAACTGACGAGACCCGACAACTTTTCCCCTACCTCCTTGTTTTCTTTGCCAGCGACAGTTGTTTGTGGACAAATTAAACTATCTATCTCAGCTCTTGTGGACTCCGGGACAGAACAAAACTTGATCTCCAGCGATCTAGTGGAACAACTAGATGTTTCCACTTCAGCTCTTGACCCTCCTCACTCCATCACCGGTGTCACTGGTCAGCTCTTATCACAAGTCAACCAACGGATCCCCAACCTGCATGTCATCGTTTCCGGTAATCACCATGATCTGGGTAAGTTTTTTGTTTTTGACTCTACATTTCCACAACTGATTTTTGGTTTTCCATGGTTATCCACCCACAACCCAGTTATTAATTGGAGAGAAAAAAGAATTGAAAATTGGAGCTCATTCTGTTTACAAAACTGTTTAAAGTCTGCCGTTCACTCTCAGTTAAAGGGGAGGAACCCGTCATGGAAACGGATCTGTCTTCGGTCCCTGAAGTATATCATGATCTTGCAGCCGTTTTTAGTAAAAGTAAAGCACTCCCATTACCTCCCCACAGACCATACGATTGTTCCATTGAACTGTTACCTGAGTCACCATTACCTTTCAGCCGATTATACAACCTATCTGGTCCTGAAAGAGAAGCTATGAAGAATTACATTGACGACTCCCTGGCTTCTGGTCTAATCCACCCCTCCAAGTCTCCTCTTGGGGCAGGATTCTTTTTTGTTACTAAGAAAGACAAATCCCTAAGGCCTTGTATTGATTACAGAGGCCTTAACCAAATCACGGTCAAAAATAAGTATCCACTACCTTTGTCAGACTCGGCGCATGATCAGCTCCACTCGGCCACTGTATTTACTACACTCGACCTTCGTAACGCTTACAATCTTGTTCGTATTAAGGAGGGCGACGAGTGGAAAACAGCCTTCAAGACACCCCTAGGCCATTTCGAGTATTTGGTCATGCCTTTTGGCTTGACCAACGCTCCYGCAGTTTTCCAAGCACTTATCAATGATGTTCTAAGGGATTTCCTCAATGTATGTGTTTTTGTTTACTTGGATGACATCCTCATTTAYTCCCACGACCTCCAGCAACACAAAGAACATGTTAGAGCGTTACTTCAAAGGCTTCTTGAAAATCAGCTCTATGTCAAGGCAGAGAAGTGCGAGTTTCATGTCTCTTCAGTATCCTTCCTAGGTTTCATTCTGGAAAAAGGACAGTTCAGAACAGATCCAGAAAAAGTCCAAGCAGTTTCAGAGTGGCCGGTTCCCAAAGATTGTAAACAGCTACAAAGACTTCTTGGTTTTGCTAATTTCTACAGGYGTTTCATCAAGGACTACAGCCGTATTGCTGCACCCCTCACTCAACTAACCTCCATCTCCAGACCTTTTTCTTGGACTTCTGAGGCTCAAAGCGCATTTGGTGAGCTCCAACAACTCACTGTAAATATCCACGCACCTGTAAATACTCACCTTGGAAATCCTACCATTGTGAACCAACTCCTCCGTGCTTCATCTCCTTCCCCAAACCATAAGAACCTACCTGCTGCACTCACCTGTTTAAGTCCTTTTCTGGAAAATTATCAAGTACTCACCTCTACTACCGTTCTGTTCCAGGTCCAGACCCCAGACCCCTCCCGCACCTGTAAAAATAAAAATCACTTGTCTTTTATCACTTGCCTCGGTCTCTGTTTGTCACTGGTACTGCTCACGTTGACCCAAAACCTGTGTTTATGACAGTAGGTATTTCTTTTTAAAGAGGATAAACCAACATGAAGACCAGAGAGCTGTCTTTTGGAGAAAAGCTGAGAAGAGAATGAAAATCAATCAGTGCCATTGGACAAATGTTGGGCAGAGCGACCACAAAAATTTGGAATGTCCTGAATAAGAAAGAAACTACTGGTGTACTGAGCAAGAGACGTCCAACAGGTCGGCCAAGGAAAAAAAAAGTAGATGACTGAAATATTGTGAGAGCTGTGAAGAAAAAAACCATCAAAAACCATCAGTAAGTGACATCACCAACAACCTCCACAGAGCAGGGGTGAAGGTATCACAATCCACTGTTGGAAAAAGGCTCAAAGAGCAGAAATGTAAAGGCCATACACAAATCAGAAGGCCAGATTTAAATTTGCAAAGACGTAAAGAGATGAGCTGCAGAAGTTCTGGAAGACGGTCTTCTGAACTGTTGAGACCAAGATCAATCTCTACCAAAGTGATGGAAAGACCAACGTGTGGAGAAAGAAAGGAATACTGATGATCAGAAGCACACAAGCTCATCTGTGAAGCATAATGCAGGTAATGTCATGGCTGTTTCTGGAACAGACTCATAATATGGTGCCCAAACAGTCGCTCGCGGGCCACTGGTCACCCGCCAGCTGCTTCCCAGGTGCGCGCRAAGCGCAACCTTGCTGCGGAGCCTCTAGCGCCGGCTCTGAGCGTCTCGTTTCGTTTCTGGTCTCTGGTCTCGTTTTAAAGCTCTGGTTCTTCCCTATAAGAGGAAAGTTGAATGAAGTCCCTGCGACATTCCCCCGTAGAGCTATAAGCGAAAAACAGCCAAATCACGCACCACTTAGTGCATTTTTTGCTCATTTTCGGGAGGAAATTTCAACATTCATTTGCTTCTCCTGCAGGCTCTGAGCATCAGATTTGGGAAAGTAAGATTACTTTGGAAAGCTACGGCCCTCCTCTACAAACTGGAGGTGGTTGCAAGTTCCTGGGACGCTCCCCCGCAGAGCTATTAACCAACAACCAGCCGAAAAAGGCGCTTTGGCGGGCAATATAGTACTCAATTTTTTTGCTGAGCCTCTAGCACCAGCTCATTTTAAAGCTCTGGATCTGCGCTACAACCTGGAGGTAGTTGCAAGTTCCTGGGATGTTCCCCCACGGAGATACAGTATCAGTGATCAAAACTCATYGGGTGAGCTCTGGCGGGTGAAACGGCTGAATTCCAGCACTGGGCTGCTTGTGCTGATGCAGGGGAATAAAAAGAAGAGCTCCAGTGAGGTGGAACCATGGTCCTACATCCAGCACCCGCTCTCCCGCCTGGATTTAGCCAGAAACCCCTGGCGGGCGATATTTCTGCAAAAATGCATAAAATTCAGAACCCTACCTGATGGATCACTTCCAGACAATAAAAGGAACAGATTTGGTCAGGTGAAACCGGTCCTGGAAGCTCAGCACCGGGTTTTATAACAGCCTGCCCCCTGAACCACTGGCGGGCGATATTTCTGCAATAATGCATAAAATTCAGAAACCCACCTAATGGATTTGTGACACAAAAAGAATGATTCATATATTGAGTTGAATGTAGAATCCGTCTCTAAAATAGAAATGAAAGTAGTTTAAAATATGTTTAATGCAATTACACCAGAATGCAGGACACAGCACGTACGTCATTCGAAATTTTCTGGAGGAGAACACCCCCTCCCACATTGTGGTTATGATGGCAACTAGTAGCAGCAAGGATAAATATAATAGTACTTATGTGAAAGAAATAATAACTGTAAAATCAAAAAGAAATGGTGGGACTGAGAAGGTGAGGGGTATAAGCAACATTTACGTTTAATAAACATCCAGGTGCCATCCAGAAGCTATTTTTTAAAAGAAAAAAAAAACAGGTTTTAGAGGCTTGCAGATTAAATTAGCTCAGTATGCACTCAATTTATGTCTTGACTGATCAAAAGTACAATAAACTATGATGATTTGTTCTTTTCCTGATTTCATTTTAACTTTGCCTACAATTTACATTTTAGTCTAGTCATTTTATCTAATATTTCTTTTTATATGCAGTATTTCCCTAGACTCCATGTTTTGTTCTTGTTTACAATAAAGCTTTTGTAAAAAAAAAAACAGACACCCAACAGTGCTTTTTGACTTTATTATAAACAAAAGAATGGGCAGTTTGTTGAATACAGAGCACTTGTGAACTGAGCAGGATGTATTTGTAAATTTGAGCCTCTCTAGAATGTAACTTTGGTGTGTACGATAATTTTCCTCAAAATACGATAGTTTTGAGCTGCTGATACAATAATTCAACACTTCCCATCTGGCAACACTGGTGCTCCAGCAATGACCGGACACACTCTGCAAGCAGAGTGACTCTTTCCCAGACCTGCTGCTGCACATGAAAATCCCACTAAGGTAGAGACATACATTTATTTTTATATAGCTTGCATAAAAAGTTGTGTCCTTGTTACGTCTGTATGTTGTTTTCTTTTTATTACATTTTAGACCAGATTAGTGTGTTATACACTGACTGGCAGCTTTGTCTTATTTATTTATTTTGCAGTTTGGGTGTGCCATTGTTTTCTGTACCTAACATGGCTGTGTGTGTGTGTGTGTGTGTCTTGTCCTATAGGTGGCGAATGAGGTGGAACTCTGAATGGTCTGGAGCCGGCAGTCTGGATCACTGAGGGACTGAGCTCTTCAACGCTACAGATGACACCATCCTGCATGCTGCAGATTGAGGTTTGAAATAGTTGTTGGAGATTTGTGAATCTGCACCATCGTAAGTCACTTTTTGTAATAGTATAAACAAGAGAGTTTTATATTGTGTGCTTTGACTTTGAAAAAAAGCGCAGTACTCTTGCGGTAGCCATGTTTACCCTGATAGATTTTTGTTTTGATTTTCCTGCCCTGTTTGGAGAGAAGAGAGGAGAGTTCTTTGAATAAATGGAGATGAGTTCCCGTGCTTCAAAGTTATTTGACTCTGTGGTTCTCGCACTGGAAAGGGTTTCCAGCCCTCACAGTGAGTACTAATTGAAGGAGATTTTAAAAAATGGTACTTTTTGTTCAAGCATCGCTTTTCTGTTGCTCTGTCAGGATTTAAGTAAGGATTTTATCTTTTCTTTTTTTTTATAGGTAAATATATGGTTAAGTAGATAGTTTTGTTTGACAATATTTTAAATTAAATAAAACTAGCAACACATTACATTCTGTTTTATTTACTTTAAAGAAGTGAGGAGTAGGGAGACAAAATTATGTTTTTTTTTATACTGAGACYGGACGAGTAGCTCTCGGCAAACTGCCGACTTCAAAAGTAGCTCTTGGTTCAAAAAAGGTTGGGCACCCCTGTTCTAGTGATAACATAAGCCAACCTTGCTAATACTGCTGACTAGAGGCACATTACTTTTACATCATGGCACATATCGTCGCATTTTGGGCAGGGGATTTGTTGAAACAAACTTTTGGCTCATGGTGATAATTAAAATGTTGTTGAGCATTGCTAGTTCTGCTGCTTCTTGGTCATTTTCTTATGTTTATGGTAGGGCTTCAGTAAGAATGCATGCAATATAATAGTAATTTTAAACTGTTTATTGTAGAACTGAAGCGATGCACACTGGGTACAGGATGGATTGGTGACTGGAAGCGAAAACATGAAGAACAGGAAACCATCTTCACTTCTAAATAAGAGAATGAATTTAATTTTTTCCTTTTATAGGTTGTGGTGTAACTAATACTTTTAGGTTTAAGCCAGTAATTCATGACATCCTTTAATGACTTAGATTTTCATGACATACTGTTCATCTGCACATAGAATGATTAAAGTCAGAACAAGATTAGCTAACAACAGTCATTCTTAGATATCACTTGTGTTTATCTTTGTGTTTTCCCTTGACCTTGTATCAAATCTTAATAAGATGACATAATGGTGTTTGTTAATATATGTATGAGGCCTCTCGAGTGAGTGACACAGTAGAGACAGTGACAGAGAGAAGCAGAGGCACAGAGACAGGGCAGGTTGTTCTCTGTGT